GTAAACTGTTCCCTCGATGTCCTTTTCATAAGGGTCTTATGAATCGCTCTTTGTCTGGTCCCTCACCCAGGGCCAATTTGCCATGGGAGACCCTACCAGGGGGCAAAAGCCCCCAGACAACATAGCCCCTGGGATCCCTGTGACACACAAACCCCTCCACCATGATAAGGTAGCGATTCAAGGAGGGGTAAAACAAACTAACATAAATAAAATACACTTCAGCTAAATACTTTATTTTCCTAAACCACGCGGAGCCGCACTATAAGGACTAAAGAGCCGCAGGTTGCCGACCCCAGTGTTAGTGGAATGTAAAGTTACAAGCAGGTGCAAAACTACTATAAAGTGACACAAAACAATCATACAAAGTATCTACAAAATGTTTTGGTCTTCAGTGTAAACTCCTGTGCCCAGGGGGCGTGTTTGATAAATCCCTCCATGGAATAACTCTAAATCTGTCCGTCCCGATTTAAATGTCGAATGAAAAATGTTCCAACACGACCAGCAAAAGAACAGCAACTCAAATTGTTCTGCGTTAAAAAAACTCTTTTGTTCTTTTTTCTATTCTATTCTTTTCACCAGTTGGTTTATATGTTTTGCACTATTGTTCACTTTATGAATTTTAAGCAATTACTTGAAGTTGAGATTGTAATTTCGCACTGGCAAGTTTGAGGTTAGCCCGAGAATTTCATGCTCTTCATAAAAAGTCATAACTTTTTCAACATAAGTTGAAAGTGAAAAGATGAGTGGACATCTGTCTCTCTAATGACAGATTCTGATGTACTGGTCCTCTTACCTTCAACTCCACTTTTTATTCTGGTTACAGAACCAAGCATTGTGTTGATGAGATAGCAATTGAAATTGAACTTGGACTGGCAATACTTTCATGTAATACTAACTCGGTTATGATTATTGAACAATTTATTGTCATTTAGAATATTTCTGGTAAATCTAATATATGATTTTAAATTCCAACAAATGTGTGTTTCTTTAGGAAAGAAAGAAAGAAAGAAAGAAAGAAAGAAAGAAAGAAAGAAAGAAAGAAAGAAAGAAAGACGCAATTTTCAACCCAAATTTTTGAGCTGCACTGTGTGTGTGAGCTCACTGAGCATTTTCTGATTGTTCTGTTCTGCAGTGACAGTTTAAAGTGCAGCTGAAGCAAAAATTAGGCGTAAATAAGATACTACAGACATGTAGGTATGGCTTGTTCCTGTGGATGCTGTAAAGCAGTATTCTCTCATGTAATAAGAACTGTTTATTTAAGCCCTTCACATTTACATACATCTATGTATTAACATACATAGATGCCATAACATTTCTAAAAAGCTCTGATTTCAAAAACATAATTTTTTTTCTCATACTGTGTGATCCGATTATGTAATTGTCAGATGTCAGTGACAATCATGATAATCTGAATTAATGCATTGCTATCCATGAAAATATCGAATGAATGCCTTACGGACACAATCACGAGGTTTTCTCAGCATCGTTTGCATTGTTATGATTTGTGCAAGAGCTGTGCGCCCATCATCCAGCTGCATTGTGGGAAAGGTTTGGCTAAAAATAATGAAGAGGCTAAAACAATTCCCTGTTTTACCAAAAGCCATAAATCTGTGAGGAAACTGGTGTGACAATGTGGAAAGCTACCTCCTCCTCTCAATATTAATGTATTATGTACCAAAATGTCTACTATAATAATCATGTAAGTGATTACTGATGTAAACCTGCACTGTACTTTGATGTGACAGTCCCGCTGTTAATTGCAGCTGATTTTTGGAAACAGGATGACAGAAGGACCAAAGGGTACATCTACCAAGCAGCAAATGAAAGGTGGCTGGTTTGATTCCAGGCAAACACAAATGTGCTTTGCGTCAGAAAGGTCACCTGGTGTAAAATATCTGGTGCCATATCATCTGGTGACCCCTTGTAACAAAGGAGCACTCAAAAGTAGCTCTTTAGCAAACAGCTAATTGTTAATGGTAGTAGCAACCATCTCAGCCGTCTTGGTTTAGCACCATTAGGTGGGCACATGTTTATTCTCAAGGCTCCTGTTCCTGAAATGTTTAATTGAAATACAATGTTAGATAATGAAGATTTGGCAAGCTGCTTTGATAATGACTTTTAGTCTCACATGCACAATTTGAATTAGATGTGGATATTTGATCTTCTTGTTTAATTACTTTAAAATAAAGAAAAAATGGAATGCAAGGTACCATTCTTGAGCATGATAAAATGTATTTTGTGCATTCGTCTTTTTTTTTTTATGCAGCTATAGTAATATCTTCCAATGGTCACTTTTTAAAGATTATTTTGGGACTTTGGAGATTCCGTATTAGCAGCTTTAAGTCTATTGCATTAAAATATTCCTGTGGTGTATTTTTACCATGTGGAACTTTAAAGCCAAGGAGAATGCCTACGCTGGTACTACAGGTGTGCTGAAAAATGTAGCTGTACCCGACTGTCCCAAGATACACCTGAACTTCCTGTTGTAGTGTGCTGTTATGTCAGTGTACAGTGCGTGGGGGTGACTGATTATATATACATGTCCCCTGTAGACACATGTGATTTTAAATGCATATGAAAGGACTACGGAGGATGTTTGGCTTTTCTTTTTTTTTAAAATCAGACAATATTTGAATGTGTACTGTCACTTTACGCTTTAGTCCTTGTCTGACTGTGTGTGTTCCCTAACCTATGTAATAGTAACTAATGTAACAGAGGTGGAGTCATTTAACATCCTTCCACTGAGGACATTCAATGCCTCGTGTAGGAATTTAGCTGACATCATAAATATTGCCAGATAATATCACGTAAATGAACTATTTTAATAGCAACAGTAGTGTGTACAGGTACAGACATCAGTAGGCTACATCTTCCACCACACTGTATAAAGAAAGAGCAAAAGCCCCTATATTAAAGAGCATGGAGGAAACATCTGCTTTGCCTTTGTGTTTATTCCCACACCAGCTGATCTGAAGCAACACGAGAAATGCAATGCTTTGAGACCGAACACGAATGTGAGCAGAAAGACTTTATTTGTTTACAACATTATCATGGTTACATTCGTATATAAACTTTTAGATTTTTCTAGCATTTGTTTTTACAGAATGACAGCGGTTGTTTTCTTTTAATCAGATTGCATACCTAGAAAATTAAAGGAATACATGCATCCGAACGTGAACAGCATTAAAAGGAGAAATTTTATATAACAAGTAGAAATTCACAACTGTGAGCTCTGCTGAGTCTTGCTGTGCTCATCAGTCAAGGAAGGAATTTTAAAGAGGATAGGCCTTTAACAAAACTTAGCAGAGGACAGCAGTTCACTGGATAAACCCCATGACGCGTAATTTAAATGCTTTCATTTGACCGATTGATTTTTCAGCATCAAATTTAAGCTTTTAGTTTTCTCTCGTTAACATGAAGCATCACAAACACAACAATTATGAAAAAAAAATTGTTGGAACTTGAAATGGATATAGGAGAGAGGACCTCTTATAAGGTTAATGGAAAGTGCACTTAGTGGGTCCGCCTGGCGCCGACCCCTCCATTCAAACACCAACTGTTTCCTCGATTCTTTGAAGCACAAAGCCTCACAGGACTCCTGCAGCCTGTGGTGCGCTGGGCACCTGCTAACTCATGTTTTTTTACTCTGTCATAGCTCTTAAAGAGTGTTTGTGGACAGTCCCAGCTGCATAGGTTAATGATAATGTACTGCTGCTCCCTTTCCTTACACTTGCTCCCCAGAATGTGCACACGCACTATCTGCAAACTTAATGTCAGAGGCTTGGAAATGCGTTACAAGGATATGTCGCCATCTCTTGGAAAAAGCGGAAACTGCTACTCAGACCTGGGTGGTGAAATGTTGGGATTCTTTTTAATGTTGAAAGAAAAAGAAAGAATAGTAAACACCACCATCACTTTCACTGGCCATGTAAAAATGACTGTACACTGGAACCCACAACACACCTCTTCATATGAGTCTGCAGGTGTTAATTCAGCTCAGATTATTTACACGTTAGGGGTTGGGTGCAGGGATCAGGAGGGCAGCTGAATATCTGCGTGGACGGCTCTGATGGCTGTCCGTCAGCTTTTACAGCATTATGAAAAGGTGAATGATTCATCTCCACACTGAGCAGGAAGCTCTGGAACTCATGATGGTATGCATGGCTTTTTTTAAAAAACTTTTTTTTTTTTTTTACTGTCCTTGATCTCAAATACAAAACAAGAAAAAAAAACATATCAGAGTACTAGGTTAACATATAAAACATACTAATGTCAGCAGGTGAGGGAAATGTAGAAAAGGTAAAGAATAGAAAAAAAAGGCATCTTAAGATTATGTTAGAGATGAGCAAGGGCAGGGTTGGTGATTGTGATGTAGGAGGAGGTTTGGTTTGATGACAGAAATAGAGAAAAAGACATAAGGAAAACAGAGAGAACGAATCTGCACTGTAGACATCTTGACATCCTCTAGTCCTCTTCCTGGTCCTCACACCTCTGGGACAGAGTGATCCATGGCTGACCGCATCAGGCCAGAGGACATCCTGGAACACAACCACACAACCTGTCAAGAAAACGCTGCATGGGTTCCTGATCTCTTGAGCTGGGCACTCAGCTACTCTTTAGAGGGCATCACTGTTTCACTTGTGACAATAAGCACTGTCTGAATCAGTGCAACCACACTTCTGAGCATTTAATTCTCTACCCCACCATCACTAAACCAGGGTCTGTGTTCATCTGCACGGTGTGGCAAATGAGAGACCTGCGCCATGGCCCTGCTGTCTGTGGATCAGGAACAGCAAAAATGCCTCACAGATAAATACCTTCAAGGGACTTGAAGATAAAATAACCATTATGTTTTTCTTTTCTCCAGTACCAAAAGCAGCACTGATAGCATTGGAGCTCATCTGCATTCTGGTCTTCGATAATTAAGCCCTGTGGTCCATTTCATGCCTAATTTCAATACACATCTCTATTAATTACTCATTTAAACCTTTAAATTTGCTCAAGGGTGGTAAGCAGTATGTTAAGATAATGTTGGCTAGTCAGGCGAGAGGTGACTCAATGTTACTCTACGGCTTATTCCACACAGATCGAGCCAAACACATTGGGTTTGACTTGAGATCAGATGTTAATAACTGATGCATGGACAGAAAAAGTCTCTGCTGCAGTCCTACCTCTTAACCATGTGCTCGTAGACAAACTTAGGCATGATGGTGATGGTCATGGTTGTCGGAGAGGTGGTCAGGATGTCTTTGATCTGAGAGTCCTGGAAATTTCCACACAGGCAGAGGCACATGTAAAGGCTTTGTGTAATCAGTGCAAAACAAACACACTCGCTTCACAGTTTCACTCTGTTGTTTAGACGTATTCCAGGAAACAAGAAAACAAACAAACAAAAAATGGTCTGAAATACAGCACAACTGCTCTACGAAGGCCGAGGGAAGCAACACAAACACAGGAGTAGCTGAGAAATTGGGGTTTGTTGTTTCAAGACTACCAAACAACTACCAGGTATACAAGTGCGACAGAAAACTTTGCCTTTACGCTTTGTCATTTTCAGACCTTTAAAAACAACCTACAAGTTGAATGCAATAGATGACTCGTTACATACAGGGGTTTACATATTTGTTCTACCAGAGTCAAGGGATGCAGGCACAGCACATGCTGCTGCTCTGCTGAGCTAAGCTACTCATTAGGTTCAAGCCCAGTCACAAAATAAGGCATTGTGTTCATCATAAATGGTCTTGTAATTGGCAGTGGACATTCAGATGTGTAGTTCACTGTCTTAATTTGTTTGCCACACTGTCACATATTTTGCTTGGGGGGGGGTTACATTGAAAAATCATTTCTTGTGTGAAGATCAGATGTAATAAGATCTGGTCAGTAAAATCTAGTTACTTTCCAGGATAGCTAAAACTGTCTGTACAGATTCCTCCGATATTGGTTTCCCTTCACTGAGTCTGGTTCTGCTGGAGGTTTCTTCCTGTTAAAAGGGAGTTTTTCCTTCCCACTGTCGCCAAAGTGCTTGCTCGTAGGGGGTCATATGATTGCTGGGTTTTTCTCTGTATGTATTATTGTAGGGCCTTGAGGCGACTTTTGTTGTGATTTGGCGCTATATAAATCAAATTGAATTACTCATGAAAGATGAACACTGCATTGTGACATCTTCCACAAATTTGTGATGCTTCAATCTGAGTTTTTTTTGTCATCATCATCTTGTTTTAACACTGGTGTGAGGGGCAGATAAAACTGAGGAACCGCATAACGTGATGCTGCATGCTCAAGGACTAGCAGCTTATCAATCCCATGATAAAGCATGACCTGATCTAGGTCTTTATTTATCTTTATTTATTAAATGACCAGACTTTAAACTACAAACTAAACTCATTAGCTCATCACTGAAGTGTTTACTGCAGTCACATAGACATATCAGGGGAGCTGAAGGCTATTCTCCCAAAGACCTTTCAGACCTGTATGCTACATCTGTCTTTTATATACTGTATGAAATTTGCCAGCTTTTATTCACATTTTACTATAGCTTGTTTGTTTTTTTATTTATTTTTTAAAACATCCACAGAACCAACTTGCCGTGATCTCATTGGATACTCTCACATGGTGAATCATGGTTCTGTGAAAGGTCAAGTGGTGCAGAAAGCCAGAAATTTTCAAAAGCAAAGTGAATGCTTCCATAACCATGAGCACTGCAAAGGTGCATCAAATCGATGTGCAAACAAACCCGAGATAAGAACATGTTGCAAACCTGCATCACAGGGTAGACAGAAACTACGCACCCACTGGAAGCAAACTACTCAACACTTATTAAACACCTCAGAGCTGGGGAGCACTGCACTTACTTAACACTGCTGGGCGTCCCTGTGTTTTATTACGTTCTCCTATTATGGAAGCAGCCATCTCAGTGCAATCTTTAAAATCAGTCACCAAACATCTGATGAGCATTGCAAACGTTTTGAAGTCACTGTCATTTTCAGTCCATGGTATTCTCTATACTGAACTTCATCTATCATAATACAGATTCCACAACACACACAACATGACAAAATATCCTACCAAACTATTAGATGAAAAGCCTGATATTTACACGAGTGAGAGTCTGACCTTGAGTCCGATGACATTCTGTCCATTGATTTCACAGATGTAATGTTCAGTCAGCAGGCCATTGCGGGCGGCTGAGCCATCTTTGACCAATGAGGTGATTTTCCCATTCTTGTAGATGAAGCCCACGTGACCAGAGCTATCTTTGTGCATGGTGACGGTGCGCTGAAATGGCCTAGAGACACACACAGGAAAAAATCAATAATCCATATGCAGAAAGTCTTAGAGCTTTTGCTATAAAGCAGCATACAACATGCCTGTCATCACAGAACTGTGACTCAGAAAAAAGCATTTCATAACAGTCGAAAAAACAGAAACTAAGAGGAGAGATGACATGTGTGAAACAGTCAGAAGAGGGAGCCAAAGATCTCAGCTCCACAGAGGCTATGATACTGCAACAATACCCCAGCAGTTTAAATATTTTACAGTTTTACATTGGAAATCTGCTCACACATCGATATCACTGAACACATCCTGTTACAGATTCAAAATCCAAAGTGTAGCACTTCTGTATAAAAGGCAAGGTAATAATACATCGGCCGAGTAGTCAGAGATCCTTTGATCCTTTTTGTGTCTGTTCTGTTTTGATGTGTCTAGTTTTAATGTGCACTGTAATATTTATAATTTGCAAGCCCGCAGAGAAATTAAGACGTTCGCAACAATTTGTTCTTAAACCAATGGTGCTACCACTTAGCCTCCTATAGGAACACCGTAGGATACACTTATGGTATCAATTTCAAAATGCTACGTCGCCTCATTCTCAAGTTATCACATTCACAAACATAGGTGTCCAACCGTTTTACCACAGTCGAAAATGAATTTTTGGTGACTCTCATTTCTGAAACAAAACTGAGACTGAAACCAAATAAAAAGTCATCTTATGATGAACACTGAAACTTAATGAGCACCCTTGAAAGTCAAAGTTGAACGAACAGAAAAACTATGACAAGAAAAACATTTCATGAAAAGCTTATTATTCAAACAGTTACTGGAGATCTTGTGAGAACCAACAGCACACTGTAGATGCTAGCTTAAAATGGACAGAGTCTGCTCAACTCCAGCTCCATATTATTATTATTTCAAATTCACAGTTAAATGTAATGCTTGAGTTCAGGATTTCTGCTCTTGGAAAATGGGTAGCAGAGAACTCCGCAGGTCTATGAGACCAGAAGTCTTTTTCAACTACAGCTATTGCCATCTGGTGGCCTACAGAAAGAATGCAGGTGTAAGGCGCTGGCTTCATGGCTTCACGACCGACATGCACATTTATATAGAAAAGCACTCCACTTAAGCTAAACACAACCATGGACAGAATATGGACCAGCTGTATGACATCTGTTATGTTTGAAGCATCAAGTCCTATATAAGGTTTGACAAGCCCTGCTGCACACTACAAGTCCCCTCACCTGTCCCTGACCACCAGCTCAATGCGGGTCTCAGACGCAGCCTTCAGAGCTTTGTGGGCCTTGTCCGCACTCCATCCAGCAGAGTTCTGCCCGTTGATCTGCAAGACCTGGTCCCCAAAGCGCAGCCCAGCCAGGGCAGCGGGGGAGTTAGCCTGCACCAGCTGGACAAACACTCCCTGAGAGAAACAGATAAAACATTCAAAGTGTGAGGAATGGAGGAAGAGACAGAAAACAGATGCAGGTAGTGGAAAGAATACAAAGGAAGGTGACAAGGACACAGAAATGGGCCATAAAAAGGTAAACAGGATGTTTATGTTCTAACTATCCAATGAAAATGTTTTGTTTGATGGATCTGCGATATAAAAATACATTTGATAATCTCTATTCTTAGGTCTCTTCTCTGGATTCTATGTTAACCTGAATGCAAAGCTGACTATACTCCTTGGTGCAGAAAGAAATCAAGAGTGCTTCATTTCAGGTCCACAATGATCCCCAACACATTTATTTCAGCTTACTTCACATAGGGCTCATTGTATCAGAACACAAAGTACATGATAACTTAACTACATTAGGAGCCTGTTAGCACTTTCAAGCTACCCGAGCTGACACTCCATCTGTGGTTTGCTGCTGACTTTTTTTTTTAGGTTTAGATATTCTAATAATTCACTCACGGCATCCCATCATGCCCATAAAAATGGTTCTGTCTTAAAAATGAAACAAGCACAAAAGCAGGTGGTTCCAATAGAGGCTTTATGAGCTTTATCAAAACACATAAATGCTGTGCCCAGTAGTAAGTTACTCATATGATTTCAGGTAGCACAGCCACACTTACAAAGTAAATGTGTAACTAGACCTTAAAAAGAAATACGAACCTATAATTTTTAAAAGAACTGTAACACCAGACTAAAAGAAATCAGCACAATAACAGTATTACCCAACAGACACAAGGCACCAGTTTATTCTGTATCATAGAGCTGATGTCAACACAAGACTCATATGACAGCTTCATAAACACGCTCAGATGACCGACACTATCATCTCTGTGTTACTTACTGACGTGTTCAGTTATTTTTCTGATGCAAAGTATCACACAACCCTGCTCTATGGGCCCCTGCAAGGTAAGAGCAATTCAAACATTTCCCTCTGCCATGCTGCAGAATTCTATAATTACCTCTTCTTATCAATTCATATTACTTGGGCAGAGAACAGGACCTTGTTCTTTTGAACCTATAATAATTATTTTCCATTCAATCATACAGTGTCAACACTGACCTTCAACCTGACCTAAAAAAATCTTGATAAGCCTCACAATGTTCTCTCAGAGAAGGGTCTGTATTACAAAGCAAGCCCAACAAACCAAGGATATCTTTTCCCCATGCAGCTTCACTTACCCTAAAAAAGGGCACTTCAGCCAGGGTTTTCCAATCTGGCTATAAACATGTTTACATGAAAAAATAAATGCAGAAAAGGGTAGAAAAACAACAACAACAACAAAAATAGCCCACTGCAGAGTAGTCACATGGTAAAAGCGTAATTATTCATTTAAATATTTTATGTAGATATTACTTGAAATTAAAAGTTAGCTAAAGTCATTATTTCAACCCATTTTCACTAGTAATGTTGCTAAGTTTATTTATACTTATAAGCTGTCACCCTTCATTATTTTGGCCTTCGTGCTTTTGGGATGTTCCTAAGCTGAGCCGACTGACAGCTTTGCAGGCTGTCTTCTACATGCAGCATCATCTGCATGAACTGCACGCAAGTTTGTGTAGGTTCTGTACCTCTCTGTTTAGCCAAATAACACCTTAAAGGACACAAACATACTACTATAAGATAAGCTTACACCTTATGTTTTATGGCTCCATGCAGATTTTAGCACAGCCACATTTTTAACACACAAACAAGCATTCACCAAGCATTTCCTTACAGCTTTCCTCTATTCAAAACACTATTTATGAGTGCCTGCATGTGGCACACTTAGGGGACATCTGCTATAAAAATATTCAGAGTTACACTGTCCCTGAATAAGCTCTGCTCTAGTTTAAGTAGATCAAACAGCTGACAAACCACTAGTGATCTATTCGCTGGAAGAAAAGATGTTTCAGACAGTTTGACCCACATCACAACTGTGATCCTGTGCTTAAGAACGCAAGATGTTAGTGTGGATTTCCTCAGTCACTGGTATGGTTTCAAAGGGCTGTTAATGACAGTCAGCCTGTGCTGAATAATTCATGAAGGAGTTGGCTTTTGGCTGTTGACTCACATTGTCGATGGCCCTGAGCCGGAGTCCAACCTTCTTGTCCTGGTCTTTGCAGAGGATGATCTCCCGCAGTCCTGGGCGGATTTCTGCCCTCCTGATGCCAATGTCTGCTCCGGTCACCGGCCGCACCATCCCTCCAACACCTGAGCCAGAGGGCAGTGCCACTTGCTGGAAAGGGCAAACAGCGAGGAAGGTGAAAAGGTTGAAAGACGTGGGTTAAAAAAAAAGAGAACTAGCAGGGGTGATTTAAAACAGATTTAAGAGCAAGGCTACATTAATATTCAAGTCAACATAAAAAGGAAAGCTGTATCACATAGAGTGGGAGGATTCGGTTTCATCTCCTCCTCCACCAGAGAATGACACGCTTTAGGCTTTTCTTTCAAAAACTTCTGTCGTTAATATGCTTTGAAATTAATTTTTAAAAAGCAGGAAAATAACAGTGGAGGTGCAGAGAAGCAGCAAATGGCAAAGAACTCAGATGGTTAAATGCCAGGTGACAAAACTGAGCGGAGTGTGTCGTCGCCCCCCCGCTCCTCCACACACACACACACACACACACACACACACACACACACACACACACACACACACACACACACAGAGTGTTGGAGGGGAGTGAAGAGCTCACACCCTCCCACACAGTGCTCCAGGCCTGCAGTGAGTCATTTAGTAATGTGGAGCTCCAGGAACACAGTACTGTTGCACTCTCACAACTCCTACATCCAATAAAAGCAGGTTTTGAGTCTTTAAATGTTGCTGGTTTGATGTGAGATTAATTATGACGTTTTAAATTAAATGTGACCAGAATTTAGTGTAAATAAAATGCCAAAATGCCTATTATTATATCTTTTAGTCACAACTGTTAATAAATAAAAAAAGAAACATGCCATATATCCACACATAATGGGGTAGCATGAAGATCAAAACACACACAGTTATAATGCTTACATTGTCAGCAACAGGCACCAGGGCCAAGTTCTTCTGCACTTCATCGCTGTTGAGGGCCAGCCCCATGTAGTCTCCCAGTTCCTCCAGATTTGGGTACAGGCCTGGGAGAACAGGCGGGACAGAGGAGGTGAGTGGGTGAAAAACAAGGTCAAGAAGGAACTGAAATAAAGGGAGCAGTTGGAGGCAGACAGAGCAGGTAGAAGGAGGTTGATGTGGTGAGTAGGAAGGAAAAAACGAGCTTTCTACATAATATGCTACCACTTAGCCACAGTATATAGAGAAATATCATCTTGATCCACTGGTATGTCTGTGACCACACCTCTATGACCACCAACACAAATCTGGTAATGTTGTGTGATAAAACTCAAAATGAAGATGTTAGTGGTTCTGAAACATCCTAGCATTGGGACCTCATTTGGTCCTTCCAATTTAGAAATTAATGTTCAATCAGTGGTCCGAAGTCTGTTTGGTATGATATGGATCTCACTTCTGAGAAACACACAAACAAGAACACTGAGGGAAGATTGCTGCAATACAATCAATAAAAAGTTTTAGTGTCACACTCAAGATCATTCGTGCTTTCCTCTCAGTTAGATTATTGTAATAGCCTTTTAACAGGTATCGATTAGAAATCAATTAGTGAATTCTACATTGCCCAAAACGTGGCAGCAAAATCTAGGAGGACCAGGAAGAGTGCACATAATACCTCAATTTTACTCTATCTTAGTGCTTTTAAGGCCCTTGAATGCCTGGACCCAGACTACACTATACTGGAATTGCTGTCCCTGTACCCACCAGTGTACAGTCTGCTAATTTCTCCCACTTCATGCTTCTCAGTTGCAGAATGATGCGCCTGGCATACTCCAGCTCGCTTCATCTGTATCTTTTTTTAAAATCCCCTTTTAACGACTTAGGAGCAGACCTGCTTATAAATTATTTACACTTTTTTAGGTTATTTTATTGTTGACTGCTGAGTCCCACTATAATTTATTCTGGACATTGCACTTGACTCTTGCTGAGACACTGGTAACTTATCCTTGAAGTGATTGAAATGATTATAATGTGCACTGTGTTTTGTAGCACTGGTTTTGATGAAATCCCATACAAATACATTTTAATATTTTTCTAATTAATGCAAAAGAAGTAAAGAAGGTAAAGAAGTGCTACCTCTAAACATAACAATGAAGACAGGTTTTAATCTCCCTCCCGCAGTCACAGGTTTTTAAACGATTTAAGTTTGTTTAGCCGACCACCTTCTTTCCAACACTTTATATTTTATTCATGCCATCCATCACTACAAGGGCACAGCCTGAGCTATTAAGCGTTCCGCTGAAGAAATTTGATAATGAGCGGCCTGTGTTGCTGTGCAGTACAACCATTCAGACATCAGCACTGAGCTCCGTGTTATGACATCAAGCCCTCTATAACCTGCTATGGAAAGGTTTGCTTGTTGCTTGTATGTGTCCATTGTGTGTTCTTGTTTTGCCTACGTAAATATCCCAAAGATATAAAAATATAACCATGTAGTTTCATGCAAAGTGATGATACATGCCTGCCTGAATTTCTTTATTTTGGAAAAAGCAAAAGGAAGAATGTGTATGGTAGTATTCAGAGGAGGGAAATAGGTATCAGCCAAGTTGCTAAACACCTATGAAAGTAAGAATGAAAGCCATTTAATTACAAGTTAATCCCCATGTATGATGTTCTTATGTACTTTGAAAGCACATGCAACCACACCCAGAATGGATTGCCAGCAAATTAAGTCATATGTCTACCTGTTCTGTAGCTAAAATTATTAGTAGATTAAACAGGAAAATAATGAACAACTGGTAGCTGGTGGTGTAATTCTTGAAGTAATTTACTCACTGCTGACATGTTACCCGCAGTTACCAGAAAAGCTACAGCTTCAATAAGGAAGTGATTAAAGAGATTTAAACTGTACTGCCTGTGTGGGGGCAAGTGGCTTTTTTTCTTTTAAATAATGGTCTGTGACCAGTTGTGTTTGACCCTATAATTTATCAGGAAGGTCTGACAGGAACTCATTGCTTTTTTACCTTTTCTGTCAAAGGTTGTTGCTATTGGATTCTGACTTCCTGTTTTATAATCACAGAAACTTTTTTGAAAACCAGTGAGGTCGGTTTACTGAGGACAAAAGTGGAAATGAAACAAACTAAGCAGTAGATAGGTGGTATATGTTGAGCGCACCAGAGAGTATGACAGGACAGCAGGAGGGAGTAGTTTAATGTTTCTGATCTATTAATACATCACTGAGACAAAATCTTAGTATCATATTCTTATTTTAACATGATTTGAATTTTAATAAAATATACACTCCACCTACACACTCAGAAATCCCCCAAGGCACACTAATAAATGACAGGTCTGATCATGGTATGGAAGAGAAGCATAGAGACAGAGAAGCACCCACAACTCGTTGGTCAAGCCTTAAGCAAACAACAAAGTAGGCTAATTCAAAGTGCAATCCTACAATAGGTCCTAATTAAAATCACTGAATGTGCTCTGCTATATCAGAAAATGAGAATACTTTGTCATAACAGTTGGCCTGTCCTCTCTGCTTTCCTGGTCTATCATCCTATGCTCTCTTATTTTATCTCTTTGGTTCACCTCTCCCACACATGCCTGCTTCACATGCTCCCACACGGGCAAGTATTAGGAATGATAATGATTTCTCCTTTTTTATTCAATGATGTTCCGTTGTCCTCTCAAATTAGCAAAGCAAAGAAAAGACTACTGGGGTGAAGTATCAACAGTAACAACCTGTGAGCTCTGTAAACAAGGACCTGAATTCAAATCTCCACACTCCCAGGGATGATTAGGATGAGCATGAAGGATGTCCTGTTTTACTAGAACTAGAAATCTCCTTTCTTAGAGAGAAGCTGAAAAACTATTCTATGCATTTATAACATCTAGGATTGACTACTGTAATAGGGATAGGGACTAGAAAGAGAGAGCATCCTATTAAATTCAGAATCGAATTTAAAATCTGTCTCTTCACATATAAGCGCTTGAAAAATAATCAGTCTGTTACTTGGTTATTTGAAGAGTAGAATGGGAGGCAGAGCCTTCAGCTTTCAGACTCCTCTTCTGTGGAATCAGCTTCCAATCTGGATTTGGGAGACAGACACCTTCCCTACCTTTAAGATTAGTCTTAAAACTTCCCTTTTTGCTAAAGCACATAGTTAGGGTTGGATCAGGTGACCCTGAACCCTGCAGTTATGCTGCAATAGGCCTAGGCTGTTTAGGGCTTCCCATGATGCACTGAGCACTTTTTCTTCACTCACCTCTTTTCATTCTCATTTAATATTAGTTATTACCAGTGTTGGGACTAACGCATTATTAAGTAACGCGTTACAGTAACTACGTTATTATTGTGATAACGAGCACGGTAACTAGCAGTGTTGGGGAGTAACGGAATACATGTACCGCCGTTACGTATTTAGAATACAAAATATGAGTAACTGTATTCCGTTACAGTTACCGTTTAAAAAGGTGGTATTCAGAATACAGTTACTTTGTTGAAATAAATGGA